GTCTCTCTGCTCCGGGCTTCACCACTATACTCAGCAACACGCCTGCAGAGGCCAGAGCACATATTTTTTACATTTAAGTGTGGAGATCAGAAAATGTCTGCTTTGATATCATCCTCATCCATCATGCTATATATCCAGCCATACAGTAAATTATAAATATGTCACTCATCTAAAATATCTACACCATTTAAAGATTCAAGAAAATTAGGTAGCCACTTATGTTTTGTTCTTGGTCTTCTATCTGCTTTAAATTAGCAAAGAATTACAGACATAACTTTTGTAAAGATCCATAAAAAAACACACATTTTTCAAAGATTCATTTTCAGTCATTCAGGTCATTTAGGTTATTCTGTTCTGCAGAGGTTTAATACCTAACCAATTGTTTGGCTAAAATGTGCAGGATAATAACAGTTGAGGGCTTGCCCTGGTCTAGACTGGATCAAAGCAGATGGATTCGGATAGAAACGTCTTACGTAGCTTAGAGCCGGTGCAGATATGTGAGTTTGCATCTTACCATCATCCTCCTTTGTGGCTCCAGGCGTGGGCACAAACAGCGGCTCCGAAGGGTAACAGTCTTCCTCCTGCCACACCCACTGCTCTTTGGTCTGCACGTCCAGCTTGACAATCTGAGGCAGAGAGGTGTGTTAGGTGCCCTGCAAGCTGTCTTCATCCCATCAAATCTGAGAGGCTCCTACCCTGTCAGGGATGAAGTGGTTGAGCCCAAGACCGTAGGCGAAGGAGTACTTCTTTCCACAGCACTTGGAGTAATTGATCTGGGGAAACTCAAAGGCTGAAGGAGGCACATAGAGAAAAACAGGATAGAAAGCAGACAGATCCGTGTAAAATTATATTAATCTTTTAAAGACAGCCTTTTAACAATGACCACATTTTCCCCAACAAAATCCATCTTAAATCCTCCCAAAATGTATTACTGAGTGGTATCTTCGTACCATCATATATTTTGAGGATTTAGCAAAACTTTACCTTGCCTCGGTCCAGAGAACAGAACTTCGGGTTCAAGCCAAATAGTACCATCACTGAGAAGAACAGCGGTTGCTGTTGTATAGGACAAGGACACCAGGTTCTTTCCCTGTTCTTCCTGGATGCACGAAAAAAAATGGTTCAAACCAGGTCAGAACTGAGTCAGGTTCTTGGTCCAGCCCAGTTAGCAAAATAACGCTTCAAAGTATTGAACATCACAAATTTATTTAGACAAATTCTAAAGTATTTAACCAGAATCTTTTTAGATTGACAAACTCAACACAAAACTGTGAAACAAAATAATAAGTAAAAAAAGGGTTAAAATTTTTGCATGCACACCTATTTATCCCCTTGAAATGATGCTCCTAAATAAACTCTAGTGTAAATGTGTGCCCTGAAGCAAGGAATAACATCAGTAAATCCACACCGATATGGTGTTTGTGCTCACCCTGTGAATATCCAGAGGCAGCACATATCGCCGGACCTCAGGTTGTGGAGACCTCATCGCTGCTTTCTTCACCTCCTCCCACTCCCCCCTCAGGTTGGCCAAGTACAGGTAGTTGTACACAAATTCATGTCTGAAAAAAATAAAACATCAGTGTGTTGCAACTACAAATAAATACAGAGATACAGAGCTCTACAATCACCCTTTCCACGTGCAGAGGTCGACCACGATGAATCCCTGCTCTTCGTAGGCGTTGATGTGGTGAAAGAGGTTGAAAGCCGAAGTTCTGTATTTGTGGTTTTTCATATAACCTGCAGGTTCCTTAGTAGCCAAATGGAACCATGTCTGCAACGCATGAACAATGCCGATTCAAAGGAAGGGATGTCATTCACTCATTCACACATTCTAATGTGGATAAGCCATGAGTGAAATGAAGGAGACCTTCTATTTGGTCTGTTCTTACCCCCATGCTTTCATTAGACTCAAAGCAGTCCATGTATGTTGCTCCTCTGATGCTCCAGGCTGACAGGAACTTCAGCAGGTTGATCTTAATCGGTTGTTCCACAAACACAAAGTAGTTCTCTGTGATACCAAAACTGCAAATGCAGGAAAAAAACAGATCAAAATAGGAAACATTTTCTTTTTCTACTTTTTTAAAAAGTTTTTATTATAAGCCTGGTAAACGTTTACCTGTGGATGTAGGAGGGCTTTAACCTCTCACTGCTGGGGAGCTGAACCACAACTTGGGATTTCTCTATGGGGTCTGATTTATCTAAAGATAAAACAGATTTATGTGTAACTGACTGATCTGTTTTAATCCATTTTTATTACTTTAATGAGTATATTAAACCTCGTCTAAATAAGATGAAAATTGCAGCCCTTCCCAGTTGGGAAAAGTTGAATATGTTCATAATAACACGGATAAATGGAAGAAGATGGATGGCTGGATGGATAATAACACAGAGATGCATTAGATTCTTGCCCTAATTTGTAACTATCCACTTTCTGTTGGCTTGTGTTACAGAAAAGACATGATAAAGAGGATTATTTCTGTCTCAATCAGAGCTGTGCTTAACAAGAGCCATTAAAACCCCACTAAGACTCACAGAGATATAATATAGCGTAGGACTACGATTTAGNTACATATTTGATTATAGAATTATAGATCTGAAGATCTTGAAGACATGAAGTGAAATTAGTTCTGTTCGAAGTGGCAGAAAAGATTCAAAGGTTTTAAAACTGATATCTCTGTCCTTTTCTTTCAGGCAGAGATGAACAGCAACCGCCTGAAGGCTCAGGGTTCAATGATGTCGGCTGTGGCGTGTGCCTCCGTCCCAAAAATCACTGTAGTGATTGGTGGTTGCCATGGCGCCGAAAGCTACGCCATGGTAAGCAACCATAGTTTTTTTCTTCAGTTCTATAGCTTAACATTTTCTATCTACTTTAGTGACCATAAACTATTTATAACACTTAAATTATTTGTTTTATAGCCATAAGTTCCCATTTTATAATGAAGTCCCATCTATCTGTCCTACAGAAGGATTCTGCACCTAGGACTGAGCTCACTGTCTCTGTCTCTCCTCAGTGTGGACGGGCTTTTGACCCTAACTTCCTGTTCCTGTGGCCCAATGCCAGAGTGTCGCTGACTGCTCCGGGTCACGCTGGCTCACTGCTTCTCGCTGATAATGACCATGAGGAGCAGAAGCTGGACAAGATGTTAGAGGAGGAGAGCTCTGCCTTCTTTTCCTCTGGTAGGATGTGGGACGACGGAGTCATTCTGCCACAGGAAACCAGAAAGGTAAAAATATCAGCTTATGTTTGAATGATTCCCAGATGAGGTTGGAGCCATCTGAAGGTGATGTTTTTCACTCTGCAGGTTCTCAGAGACACTCTGGACATCATCAAACAGCAGCGGTACCAGGTGTCCACAGAGAAGAGACGCTCTGTGGTCATTCGGATGTAGACGCCTGCACCCTTCGAAGTGGCTTCGGTGTTTTAGGGTCATCACAAAAACCTGCAATACTGCAGCTCTGTCCAACTTAAAGTAATGCTTTACCTTTAAAACAATTTCTACAGAAACGTCAGGGATGCTGATGGAAGGAGACGTCTGTGGAACTTTTTTAATTCACTTTACATTTTAAAAGCAAATTTAGTTTTCTATGGTGCTTTTTCTGTCAGATCAGGAATAAGGACACTCTAACGGTAACCTAACTTGATCCTAACTTGGTATTTACAAATCCCCAAAAAAACCTTCACTGTTCTTGTTCATCTAAATTGAAATTAAAAAGAATGTAATTGTCTAAAACACCTAACAGAGCCTTTAATATTTACCCATTTTGTAATTAAGTGTAAAATAAGAGTTTTGATAATGCTTATTTGTACAAAAATAAATAGATTGCCTAACTTGTGTGTGTGTTTTTTTTTTTTTTCTTGTCCATGTTTAGATACACTACTACCTTTAAATGTATGTGAACTGTGTCTGGCTAATGGAAACCATCAGGTCCATCTATTACACTTTGTTTAATAGATGGATTTTGTTTCAAAATACTTTTTTTCAGAAAGTTTACAATAAACTAGACTAAACCATGACTGTTTCAGGCCAGGATTACTTAAAATATTTGATTTACTAATGCTGTAGGCCTAATATCAGGGACAGATTAGGTAAATTAGAAGTTTTTGTAAAAAACATATTTCATTGTCTCCAAACAATTTGGGAAAGGCCAGATAATGTTATATTATTATCTCAGCCGTTATTCCTGCCCTGCCTGGTGTTGGTGGTCAGTTGGCCTGATTCTAACCTAATTCATCGGCACAAACATGACATCCTTAATTCCCCGCGCCTCCCATCAGGGTCGGAGCACCAAACTGTATTTCTAATGCCTGTAAAACTAATTTTTCCTTGTTTGCTATGCGAGTAGTTTCTTTATACATTTACTTTTTTATAAGAAAAAAGTCTCAATAGAGGTTAGATGCTGCTCAGTAGAAAACACAAAAACAGCTAAAAACAACCATATTATGACAACATGTTGCTCTGGGAAAAACAAAAACTGTAATAAATTACAAAAATGGAAGCAGAAGGGATCAAATTTAATAGTATGATATCAAATGGGTTTTAAAAACTAGTTTAGAAAAGAAAAAATTGGAATTGGATTGGTCAGATGGGATTGATGCATCCTTGTTAGAAATAAATCACACATTAAGATCTCTAATGTTGTTTTTTAAATTTCATGAAACTCCAGAGGTCAGCGGACAATATGAAGTCTACAGGGTACTGGTCAGTGGAACAGTGGGTAGCACTGCTGCTTGCAGGCCTGGGGTCTTTGTCTGGTTCTCTCCAGTTACTCTGGATTCCTCCCGCAGTCCAAAAACATGACTGTTAGGTTATTGGCTTCTCTAAATTCTCCTTAGGTGTGAGTATGTGCGTGAATGGTTGTTTGTATTTGCGTTTCCCTGTGTTAGACTGGCGACCTGTCCAGGGTGTACCTCGCCTCTCGCCTATTGACAGCAAGAGATAGGCACCAGCACCCCTTGCAACCCCAGCAGGGATAAGCGTGATTGAAAATGGATGGATGTTCACTAAATACAGAAGAAACAACACTTGAAGAGCTCTTATTGCTTCAACTGTTTATTTGACGTATTTTGCAATTTAGACATTTTTTAATATTTAACTGTAAGACGACCACTGGTCTTCTGTATGCAATGTAATAAATTGAATTGTTATATGTTCCGATAAAACAACACATTTTTAAGTGCAGGGATACGTGGATTCAATGTTAAGCTACATGAAAATGTTTATCCAAAGAAGCAGCATCAATAACATGGGATGCTGCTAATCACAGAATAGATGAAACCTTACACACCACCATGTTAACTGATTAGCATTTTAAATGTCTTATTTCTAAGCTTGGAAAAAGTTGTTTCTCAATCCACCGGTGGTACCTGGGCTTCAGTTAGTGGTTCTGAGGGGACATTTTGGCACAATTAATGCCAGATAAGTTGAAACTTCAAAAGAAAAGTGCCAGGAAAAACATTTTGAGAACTTTATACAAACCAAAGTTCTAGATATTTCTGTCAGGTTCTAATGGTTTTTTGTCTTTTACTTTTAAAGAAAGACTTGGGTCGGAAAAGACATCAAAACCAACTTCAAATGATTTAACTCCAAAACTGTGATAATGCTCACTACTGTTTGTAATGCAAGCTGATAATTGCATTTTGTTCTCCTAAACAATGCAGTAATAAACACTGCAGCTGCTGCAAGGGACTTCTTTCTTCTAAAATATGTTGTTTGAATTTGCAGGTTCCTGTCTGTGGTTAGTGGGCCCAGAAATGAGATGGATCAAGACTTTTGATTTAATATGAGATAAAATTCATCAGGTGATCGTTCACTTCTCGATTAGTGAGTTTATGTAAGCATATTCACTGTTGTACATGATATCGAGGAGTTTAGAGGGCTTGTCTACTTTATTTAGCTCCTAGTTTTCCAGTTTCTTTTTAATTTAATTAACTTCATTTAGGTAAAGTTTGTTTGATATTTTATATGGTTTCTACTTATTTGCTTTACATAAATCCACCCTGAATTTGCAAAGCCCATTTTAACACTGCAAAAAAATAGAAATCTAAACAAGACATTTTTTCTTAAAATAAGTACCGGTAGATTTTTTTCTTAAATTGAGCAGGTAAGTGAGACATTTTGCCAATGGAATAAGAGAGTTTACATTTAAAATAAGAAAAAAGCATTGTGTCATTGTTCTTATTCTGGTTGCATTGATTTATTTCAAGTGAATAATATCCAATTATCTTATATATTAGGGGCTAAAATACTATTTCCTTTGGCAAATCATAATATTTACCTGTTCAGATTAAGGGCAAACACATTTTAAGAAGTTTATTATTTATTTTAAAATGATTTATCTCAGTGCAGTTTTAGCAAGCAACAACTGTATTGAGAGCATGACTGCATTAGTTAAAAGGAAAATAACTGATATAAAAACACTGGGAATCACCACAAACTAAAAGATGAACAGAAATAATACAACAATCCAACTGGGGGAAAAATCGTAAAGGAAGTCCAGGTCCTGCTGTTCTGCTGCTTTACACTCCTTATCACCAGGTGTTTGGTGTAAACTACAATGATATATTTCTAAAAACTGATCTAAAGGCTGCATTGACTAAACACACCAGCCTGCCTCTACAGGAATCAGACACAGATTGATGTGTTTAAGGTGAAGGCGGCGGTTTGTACATCCCGTGAAAAGTGACGGGGATGATGGTGTTGACCTCAGCCCTGGCGAGCTCCGTAAGCTTCATGGCATCCAGAATGAGCAGGAATCCTGGTCTCTCTGCTCCGGGCTTCACCACTATACTCAGCAACACGCCTGCAGAGGCCAGAGCACATATTTTTTACATTTAAGTGTGGAGATCAGAAAATGTCTGCTTTGATATCATCCTCATCCATCATGCTATATATCCAGCCATACAGTAAATTATAAATATGTCACTCATCTAAAATATCTACACCATTTAAAGATTCAAGAAAATTAGGTAGCCACTTATGTTTTGTTCTTGGTCTTCTATCTGCTTTAAATTAGCAAAGAATTACAGACATAACTTTTGTAAAGATCCATAAAAAAACACACATTTTTCAAAGATTCATTTTCAGTCATTCAGGTCATTTAGGTTATTCTGTTCTGCAGAGGTTTAATACCTAACCAATTGTTTGGCTAAAATGTGCAGGATAATAACAGTTGAGGGCTTGCCCTGGTCTAGACTGGATCAAAGCAGATGGATTCGGATAGAAACGTCTTACGTAGCTTAGAGCCGGTGCAGATATGTGAGTTTGCATCTTACCATCATCCTCCTTTGTGGCTCCAGGCGTGGGCACAAACAGCGGCTCCGAAGGGTAACAGTCTTCCTCCTGCCACACCCACTGCTCTTTGGTCTGCACGTCCAGCTTGACAATCTGAGGCAGAGAGGTGTGTTAGGTGCCCTGCAAGCTGTCTTCATCCCATCAAATCTGAGAGGCTCCTACCCTGTCAGGGATGAAGTGGTTGAGCCCAAGACCGTAGGCGAAGGAGTACTTCTTTCCACAGCACTTGGAGTAATTGATCTGGGGAAACTCAAAGGCTGAAGGAGGCACATAGAGAAAAACAGGATAGAAAGCAGACAGATCCGTGTAAAATTATATTAATCTTTTAAAGACAGCCTTTTAACAATGACCACATTTTCCCCAACAAAATCCATCTTAAATCCTCCCAAAATGTATTACTGAGTGGTATCTTCGTACCATCATATATTTTGAGGATTTAGCAAAACTTTACCTTGCCTCGGTCCAGAGAACAGAACTTCGGGTTCAAGCCAAATAGTACCATCACTGAGAAGAACAGCGGTTGCTGTTGTATAGGACAAGGACACCAGGTTCTTTCCCTGTTCTTCCTGGATGCACGAAAAAAAATGGTTCAAACCAGGTCAGAACTGAGTCAGGTTCTTGGTCCAGCCCAGTTAGCAAAATAACGCTTCAAAGTATTGAACATCACAAATTTATTTAGACAAATTCTAAAGTATTTAACCAGAATCTTTTTAGATTGACAAACTCAACACAAAACTGTGAAACAAAATAATAAGTAAAAAAAGGGTTAAAATTTTTGCATGCACACCTATTTATCCCCTTGAAATGATGCTCCTAAATAAACTCTAGTGTAAATGTGTGCCCTGAAGCAAGGAATAACATCAGTAAATCCACACCGATATGGTGTTTGTGCTCACCCTGTGAATATCCAGAGGCAGCACATATCGCCGGACCTCAGGTTGTGGAGACCTCATCGCTGCTTTCTTCACCTCCTCCCACTCCCCCCTCAGGTTGGCCAAGTACAGGTAGTTGTACACAAATTCATGTCTGAAAAAAATAAAACATCAGTGTGTTGCAACTACAAATAAATACAGAGATACAGAGCTCTACAATCACCCTTTCCACGTGCAGAGGTCGACCACGATGAATCCCTGCTCTTCGTAGGCGTTGATGTGGTGAAAGAGGTTGAAAGCCGAAGTTCTGTATTTGTGGTTTTTCATATAACCTGCAGGTTCCTTAGTAGCCAAATGGAACCATGTCTGCAACGCATGAACAATGCCGATTCAAAGGAAGGGATGTCATTCACTCATTCACACATTCTAATGTGGATAAGCCATGAGTGAAATGAAGGAGACCTTCTATTTGGTCTGTTCTTACCCCCATGCTTTCATTAGACTCAAAGCAGTCCATGTATGTTGCTCCTCTGATGCTCCAGGCTGACAGAAACTTCAGCAGGTTGATCTTAATCGGTTGTTCCACAAACACAAAGTAGTTCTCTGTGATACCAAAACTGCAAATGCAGGAAAAAA